CTCATTAAAAACCCCAAAAATCCCCACAAAAAATGGACCCCGCTGTGGTTTTTGGGGTGTTTTAAGGTCATTTTTGGGGTGTTTTAGGGTCATTTTTGGGGTGTTTTAGGGTCATTTTTGGGGTGTTTTAGGGTCATTTTAGGGGTGTTTTAAGGTCATTTTTGGGGTTTTTTGGGAGTTTTTTTGGGGTGTTTTAGGGTCATTTTAGGGTTTTTTTTTTTGGGGTTTTATGGTTATTTTTGGGGTGCTTTTTGGTGTTTTTTTGGGGCATTTTATGGTCATTTTTGGGGTGTTTTAGGGTTATTTTTAGGCTGTTTTATGGTTTTTTGGGGTGTTTTTGGGGGATGTCAGGGTTATTTTTGAGGACATTTTGGAGATATTTTTGTGATGTTTTGGGGATATTTTTGGGATGATTTTGGGACATTTTTGGGATATTTTCAGGATATTTTCGGGATATTTTTGGGATGTTTTTGGGGGTATTTTTGGGGTGATTTTGGGATATTTTTGGGATGATTTTGGGATGTTTTGGGGATGTTTTGGGGATGTTTTGGGGATGATTTTGGGATGTTTTTGGGATATTTCAGGATATTTTTGAGGATATTTTCAGGATATTTTTGGGATGATTTTGGGATATTTTTGGGATGTTTTTGGGATATTTCGGGATATTTTTGGGGATATTTTCAGGATATTTTCGGGATATTTTTGGGATATTTTTGGGGTATTTTTGGGATGATTTTGGGATATTTTGGGATATTTTCAGGGTGATTTTGGGATGATTTTGGGATGTTTTTGGGATATTTTCAGGGTGATTTTGGTGTGTTCCAGGCGTGGCAGGGGGCCTGACCCCGCTGTGTTTCAGGGATGTTTTGGGGGAAATTTTCGGGATGTTTTTGGGGATATTTTTGGGATATTTTCAGGATATTTTTGTGATGTTTTGGGGATGATTTTGGGATGTTTTTGGGATGTTTTTGGGGTGATTTTGGGATGTTTTTGGTGTGTTTTAGGTGTGGCAGGGGGCCTGACCCCGCTGTCCAAGCTGCCGGCCTGTAACATCCTCCTGCTGGGAGCCCAGCGCCGAACGCTCTCCGGCTTCTCCTCCACCTCCGTCCTGCCCCACACGGGATTCATCTACCACAGCGACATCGTGCAGTCCCTGCCGCCTGTGAGTCACAAAAACCGCCTAAAACATCCCAAAATCCCAAAAAATCCACCCAAAATCCAAAAAAATCCACCCAAAATACCCCAAAATCCACCCCAAACCACCCAAAATCCACCTAAGATACCCCAAATCCAACCCAAACTTGGGATTCATCTACCACAGCGACATCGTGCAGTCCCTGCCGCCTGTGAGTCACAAAAACACCCAAAATCCACCCAAAAACACCCAAAATCCACCCAAAACCACCCAAAATCCACCCAAAAATACCCCAAATCCAAAAAAATCCACCCAAAATGCCCCAAAATCCACCCAAAACCACCCAAAATCCACCTAAAATACCCCAAAATCCAACCAAAATCCACCCAAAAACACCCAAAATCAAAAAAAATCCACCCAAAATACCCCAAAATACCCCAAAATCCACCCAAAATACCTCAAAATCCACCCCAAATACCCCAAAATTCAAAAATATCCACCCAAAATACCCCAAATCCACCCAAAATACCCCAAAACCCACCCAAAATCCCCCATAAATTCCACAAAATCCCAAAATCCCACAAAATCCACTCAAAATTCCCCCAAAATCCCCCCCAATCCCACAAAATCCCAAAAAAATCCACCCAAATCCCCTCCAAATCCCACAAAATCCATTTAAAATCCAACCAAAATCCCACTAAATCCCCCCAAATTCCCCAAATTCTGCCCAAAATCCCACAAAATCCCCAGAAATTCCAGAAAATGCCCCCCAAATCCCCCCAAAATTCCCTAAAATCCCCCCAAATCCCCCCAAATCCACCCAAATTCCCCATAAATTCCCCAAAATCCCAGAAAATCTCCCCAAAATCCCTCAAGATCCCAGAAAATCCCCAAATAATCACCCAAAATTCCATAAAATTCCCCAAAATTCCCCAAAATCCCCAAATATTCCCCCAAAATTCCCACAAAATCCCAGAAAATCCCCCCAAAATCACCCAAAATTCCACAAAATTCCCTAAAATCCCCAAAAATCTCCCCAAATCCACCCAAAAATCCCCCCAAAATTCCACAAAATCCCCCAAAATCCCCAAAAATCCCCAAAATCCCCAAATATTCCCCCAAAACCCACCCAAAATCCCCCCAAATCCCACAAAATTCCCTAAAATCCCCCCAAAATCCCCAAAAAATCCACAAAATCCCACAAAATCTCCCCAAAATCCCCGAAAATTCCTCCAAAATCCCACAAAATTCCCCAAAAATCCCCCCAAATTCCCCAAAATTCCCCGAAAATTCCCCAAAATCCCCGAAATTCCCCAAAATTCCCCGAATTTGAGGGGTTTTTTTGGGATTTGCGCAGGATTTGCGGAGGAAAGCCGCGCGCTTGGTGGCGGCCAAGTGCACGCTGGCGGCGCGGGTGGACAGCTTCCACGAGAGCCAGGACGGCAAGGTCAGCCCCAGAATTCCCAAAATTCCCAGAATTCCCAAATTTCCCAGGAATTCCCAAAAGTCCCCCCCCAAAAATTCCCCCAAAATCACCAAAAAATTCCCCCAAATTCCCCCAAATCCGCTCAGAAATCAACGAAAATTCTTCCAAATCCCCTCCAGGAGCCTGAAATTCCCAAAATTCCCCAAATTCCTCAGGAATTCCGGAGGTTCAGGGGTGGGAGGAGCTGAAAATCGTCCCCGGTTTTGGGCAGAATTTGGTTTAATTCGCCCCAAAAAATTCCCCGAAAATCCCCCCAAAATTTCCCCAAAATCCCCATAAAAATTCCCCAAAAATTTCCTAAAAATTCCCAAAAATCCCCATAAAAATTCCCCCAAAAATTCCCAAAAATCCCCCCAAAATTCCCCAAAAATTCCCCAAAATCCCCCCCAAATTCCCCCAAAATCACCACAAAATTCCCCCCAAATCCCCTCAAAATCCTCCCAAATCTTCCCCAGGATATTCCAAACCCCTCCAGGACCCTGAAATTCCCAGATTTCCCCAGAATTCCCGGAATTCCCGGAATTCCCGGATTTCCAGGTGGGCTACGAGCTGAAGGAGGAGATCGAGCGCAGCCAAACCCCCAAAAATCCCCCAAAAATCCCCCAAAATTCCCGGATTTTCCCCCAAAATTCCCAGATTTTCCCCCAAAATTCCCGGAATTTCCCCCAAAATTCCCAGATTTTCCCCCAAAATTCCCGGAATTTCCCCCAAAATTCCCGGAATTTCCCCCAGAATTCCCAGATTTCCCCCAGATTTCCCCAGAATTCCCGGAATTCCCGGAATTCCCGCATTTCCAGGTGGGCTACGAGCTGAAGGAGGAGATCGAGCGCAGCCAAACCCCCAAAAATCCCCCAAAATTCCCAGATTTTCCCCAAAATTCCCAGATTTTCCCCCAAAATTCCCAGATTTCCCCCAGAATTCCCGGAATTCCCAGATTTTCCCGGAATTCCCGCATTTCCAGGTGGGCTACGAGCTGAAGGAGGAGATCGAGCGCAGCCAAACCCCCAAAAATCCCCCAAAATTCCCAGATTTTCCCCAAAATTCCCAGATTTTCCCCCAAAATTCCCAGATTTCCCCCAGAATTCCCGGAATTCCCAGATTTTCCCGGAATTCCCGCATTTCCAGGTGGGCTACGAGCTGAAGGAGGAGATCGAGCGCAGCCAAACCCCCAAAAATCCCCCAAAATTCCCAGATTTTCCCCAAAATTCCCAGATTTTCCCCCAAAATTCCCGGAATTTCCCCCAAAATTCCCGGAATTTCCCCCAGAATTCCCAGATTTCCCCCAGAATTCCCAGATTTCCCCCAGAATTCCCGGAATTCCCGGAATTCCCGGATTTTCCCGGAATTCCAGGTGGGCTACGAGCTGAAGGAGGAGATCGAGCGCAAGTTCGACAAGTGGCAGGAGCCGCCCCCGGTCAAGCAGGTGAAGCCGCTGCCGGCGCCGCTCGACGGCCAGAGGAAGAAGAGAGGGGGCCGCAGGTGCCTTAATTAGCGCTAATTAACCCTTGATTAGCCTTAATTCATCCTTAGTTAGCGTTAATTCGTCCTTAATTGGCTCGTAAGTAATCCTTGGGGAACAGAGGAAGAAGAGAGTGGGTCACAGGTGCCTTAATTAGCGATAATTAACGCTAATTAACCTTGATTAGCCTTGATTCGTTCTTAATTAGCCTTAATTCATCCTTAATTAGCGTTAATTCGTCCTAAATTAGCGTTAATTCGTCCTTAATGAACGTTAATTCGTCCTTACTCAACTCCTAATTAATCCCAGGGGAGCAGAGGAAGAAGAGAGGGGGCCACAGGTGCCTTAATTAGCCTTGATTAATCCTTAATTAGCCTTAATTAGTCCTTAATTGGCTCCTAATTAATGCTTGGGGAACAGGGGAAGAAGAGAGCCCCTTTAATTCACATTATGTTAATTAGCCCCTAATTCACAGTTAATTAGCCCTCTAATTAACGGTTAATTAGCCCCTAATTAACGGTTAATTAGCTCCTAAATAACGGTTAATTAGCTCCTAAATAACGGTTAATTAGCCCCTAATTCACAGTTAATTAGTCCTCTAATTACCGGTTAATTAGCCCCTAATTAACGGTTAATTAGCCTCTAATTACCGGTTAATTAGCCCCTAATTACCGGTTAATTAGCCCCTAATTAACGGTTAATTAGCCCCTAATTAACGCAGGTACCGGAAGATGAAGGAGCGCCTGGGGCTGACGGAGATCCGCAAGCAGGCCAACAGGATGAGCTTTGGGGAGGTAATTAACGCTAATTAACCCTAATTAACGCTAATTAACCACCCCAAATCCCCTTGTTACCTGCCCGGGATCCCCAAATCCCATTTTTTATTCGTTTTTTCCCGTTTTTCCCACTTTTAATCCCATTTTTTACTCGTTTTTTCCTGTTTTTTCTCCCTTTAACCCCATTTTAACCTCTCTAAATCCCATTTTTTACTAGTTTTTCCCATTTTCCCCAATTTTAACCCCCCCAAATCCCATTTTTTACTCGTTTTTTCCCTTTTTTCCCACTTTTAATCCCATTTTTTACTCTTTTTTTCCCGTTTTTTCTCCCTTTAACCCCATTTTAACCCCCCCAAATCCCATTTTTTATTCGTTTTTTCCCGTTTTTCCCACTTTTAATCCCATTTTTTACTCGTTTTTCCCGTTTTTTCTCATTTTTTCCCATTTTTCCCACTTTTAATCCCATTTTCCCCTCAGATCAAGAGGCCTACCCGGATAACCCAGGACCCCTAATCCCCAATTTTCCTCATTTTAACCCTTCCAAATCCCGTTTTTTACTCATTTTTTCCCATTTTCCCCACTTTTAACCCAATTTTAACACTCTCAAATTCCATTTTTCATTCTTTTTTTCATTTTTTTCCCATTTTTAACCCCATTTTCCCCTCAGATGAAGGAAGAGGCCTAGCAGAACAACCCGGGCTTTGGCCTAGGCCATCTAGGACCCTTAAACCTCATTTTTCCCCACTTTAAATCCAAATTTTTCTTATAAAACCCCACTTTAATTTCTCCAAATCCCATTTTTTACACATTTTTTCCCATTTTTTACTCATTTTTTCCTGTTTTTCCCATTTTTAACCCCATTTTCCCCTCAGATCAAGGAAGAGGCCTACCAGAACAACCCGGGTTTTGGCCTGGGACTCCCAAACCCATTTTTCCTTCTTTAACCCAAATTTTTCTTGTAAAATTCCATTTTAACCCTTCCAAATCCCATTTTTCACTTGTTTTTACCCATTTTCCCCACTTTTAACCCCGTTTTCCCCTCAGATCAAGGAAGAGGCCTAGCAGGACAACCCAGGCTTTGGCCTGTGCTATCTGGAACCCCCAAACCCCATTTTCCCCACTTTAACCCCATTTTCACCCCTCCAAACCCCATTTTTTTCCCATTTTCTCAATTTTTAACCCCTCCAGTCCCCATTTTTTCCCATTTTCCCCACTTTTAACCCCATTTTCCCCTCAGATCAAGGAAGAGGCCTAGCAGTAGGACCTGGGCTTCAGACGGGGCCATCTGGAACCCCCAAACCCCATTTTCCCCACTTTAACCCCATTTTCACCCCTCCAAACCCCATTTTTTTTCCCATTTCCCCATTTTTAACCCCTCCAGTCCCCATTTTTTCCCATTTTCCCCACTTTTAACCCCATTTTCCCCTCAGATCAAGGAAGAGGCCTAGCAGTAGGACTCCGGCTTGGGCCTGGAACCCCCAAATCCCCTTTTTCCCCTCTTTAACCCCATTTTCACCCTCCCAAACCCCATTTTTTCCTCATTTTTTCCCGTTTTCCCCACTTTTAACCCCATTTTCCCCTCAGATCGAGGAGGACGCTTACCAGGAGGACCTGGGCTTCAGCCTGGGCCACCTGGGCAAGGCCGGCAGCGGCCGCGTTCGCCAGACCCAGGTGAACGAGGCCACCAAAGCTCGGATCAGCAAAACCCTGCAGGTACCTGAACCCCCTCCCTGATTAATCACCCCCTTTGAAGCTTATCACCCCCTAATTAGCATAATTAACCCCTAATTAACGCTGCCCAGAGGACGCTGCAGAAGCAGAGCGTGGTTTACGGGGGTAAATCCACCATTCGGGACCGGAGCTCGGGCACGGCCTCGAGCGTGGCCTTCACCCCCCTGCAGGTGGGGATTTTGGGGGGCTTTGAGGGGTTTGGGGGGTCTCAAGTGGGATTTTGGGGGGGTTTGAGGGGTTTGGGGGGTCTCAAGTGGGATTT